GTAAGTTTTGATTGAAAAACGTTTTATTTGTTGATTTTGGAGATCTGTTAACTAGTATTATTAGTTAAGGAATTGAAGGTAAGTTTTTATTTTTACTTTTATTAAGAATACTTATATATTCTCTTATCTTTTATGCATGTGAATTCATCATGTTGCTAGATAAGAAAGTATTAAATATATTAATTGCTTCAAAATAATAAATTTATATATTGTTTCATTTAATGCTTACTTTATAAAATAAGAAAATGATTATTAGAAGTTGTGCAATAAAATATAACAAAACTAGTCCATTAAAAGTTTTGTTGAATAGTGTTGAAAAATTATAAAATAAGATGCATTAATAATATTTTTAAATATTTTTTAAATTAATACCATTCGTGTTTGGTTTATTTTTATGATAATTAATAAAAAAAACTGTTTATAATTCTTTGCAGGGCCAAATACAACAGTCCCTTATTCACACAATGGGAAGTAAATTCATGAAATCGTGCTCTAAGATTCATCCAATTGTCATGTACCGGAATAGTTTTTTCGTAATGCTAGGCTCTTTCTTCAAAAAATATTATGAAATAATGATAAGAGAAGTTTTGGATGGTTCTCATAAATCTATTGATAAATTTACTTAATTTTTTCCCTTTTCTAGCTTCAAAATTGTATCTGTTTTCTTAAATCATTTTAAAATATGTAATATAACACTATTTTGGTAATTAAAAGCAAACCACATAACATAGTGAAAAGTTACTTGTATACGCACCTCAATGATGACCCTTGTTATGACCACATCTTTCTCAAGGATGACACGAATGTCAAAACCTAACCATCCTCCAAGCATATGCCATGAAGATCTCTTTTAAGTTGACCATCAAATAGCATTATTTTTAATTAACTCTTGCTTTTGTGCCTGTGATAGATTAATTTCTTAGATGATATAGATGGGGCCGAACCATCCTTTGGCTTAAAGTATTTAAAAATGTAAATTAATATCAATTTGAATAATATATTTTATAAAAGTATATATTTTTATTGAAAATATGAAATTATATTTAAAAATAAATAAGACATTAGGGTATAGTACCCATAGAAGAAAAAATTATTTTCCATACAGAAATTCACAATCAATAGGATTTGAAGATCACATTAAGTAAAATCAACTTTTGTTCAATCACAAAATGCCTACGAATTTGAAGATCCTAGTGGAAGACTATAGAATACCAAATATATGCAATATTGATTGCATACGTGTGAGACGTCCTTTGAAAAATAAGCCTTGCTTTGTAATTCTCACTTCTCTTGTCTTGGCTATTAATGGAGGTAAGCTAAAGAGTATCAAAACACTTGAAGTTAAAAAGAAAAAGCGCAAATTAATGTCCTTTTTTGGCATGATCAATGAACAAGTGGTAATCACTGATAACTTAAAAATTTAAAATGATGTATGATTGACTGTATAGTATCTCAAAATCAAATATTAAACGATTCCATTGCTAAAATGGGGAATAAATTGACTGAAATAATATATTGGTAATGGAAATTAAAATAGATGGAGCCACCTGTTTTTCGTTTGGGCTTCATGGTGCTGGTAGTTTTTTGAATTGATAATTCATGTGTATATTCTTCAAGATCCACTTAAAACTTTCTTCAGAATCACATGTTAAATTTGCCTTAACAACTGTGAAAAGTGAGTGAACAACACTTTTTTAGAAGTTTCGGCTTGGGGTTTTACCTTCAAAGGTTATGGTCTCATGATAATTGATTGTATATCGACTTTGCTTCTCTAGTTTGGCCAAACAAATACACCTGGCTGGGCTTCTAAGTCATTTATTCAGCAAATGTTATATCTCATTTTCTTAATTTAATCAAACATTTGTTTAATAAGATTTTGTATACGATGTTTTATATCAAATTTGATCATAAAATTGTTAAAATAAATTTAAAAAACTTATATGAGTCATGTATTTGTCCTTTTCAATGCATGAGGTAATCATGTAATAGTTTTTAAGGAACTTTGATGTATATGAATTGATCTAATTTTCTTTATCTAATATAACAAATAAAAACACATTTAATCTGATGAGCTTCCATATACAAATTATTTCAAGGCTTATACTAATTTTATTAATAATATCTTACTTTGTTACGCAATTCCTTTTCCCAGTTCATTTTCTCCTTGGTGTTGTCCCTTTTAATATGCTTGCAGCAGAGTTTCATGAATTCAATCTTATTATCAAATCTTTAAGCCCACACTTGAAGAACAATCACATAATGCCTTGAAATTGTTGCTCAGTGATTTGCCTTTTGACAAACGGGCTTCCTTGGACAAACAAACAGGCCCAAACACACATCTTCCTTCGTCCTACAATATGGACCTGCGTGAAACACTATTCTATGGAGGAATACTAGAATTTTTCTTATTTCAACTGATTTTACTTTTAAAAAAAAACAGATTTTACTTTTGTCTCATAATCAATTCATAAAATTAATAAAATACATTTAACAGTGCTCTTATTTATCAATATTTCAACTAATTATTTAAATAAATTCGTCACCATATTTTAATATTTTTAGTAAAAAGCATTTTTGTTAAAGAAAAACATTTTATCAATATAATTTATATTTTTAAATATATTTTGTCTTTAATTTTTTTTTAAATATAATTTTAGTTCTGCTAAACTTATTTTTTTCTTTTAATGTTTTTAAATTGTCTTTAATGTAACGTGACTAATTAAGAAGTTATCGTATCAAATGTTTTTGTTGAGTTGCGTTAACAAAAGGACCAAAAGTGTTAGATGTAGAAAAAATGAGGAGCGCTGGAAGGAGCACTCTCTCTAAAGTTTTTAATAAAAAATGCAAAATTTTTATTTATTAAAAATTATAAATATATATATAATCATTAAGTTAAGAGTAAAAATGAGTGAGATTTACATAAATTTTAATCAATAACTAAAAAGTACATTAAAAAGAGTGTTTTAGTAGTATTTTTTTAAAAAAAGGAAATTTTGAAAAAAAAAAATTAAAATCTAGAAGTTACAAAGACTAACATTTAGTCTTTGCTCCATGGCAAGAGGAAGTTGCTTCTGAGTTTATATGCGTTTGAAGAACACAAATGGAAAACAGAAGACACTATAAAATTGGTAGTAGCTATTACTGTGTGGAGTACAAATCGTGGAAAGCGTGGACAAGCTCTAAAGCATTGAGGTTTGCCTCGTGTCCCATTTTAAATTATATTTTTATATTCAACATGAATAATTTACTCTACTTTTTTGCATGCAATTTTCCTAGAAATATATTCAACATGATTTTAATTTGATTCATTTATTTAATATGAACTGTTTTTCTAAATTTGGTATGACTTTTTGAAAATCTTGTCAATTTAAATGTTTACTTTGTAACTAGATTTTTTTATGTTAAAAAAATTACCTTTAAATATATAAGTTGATAAATTAATCTCAGAGAATATGCTAAATGATATTTTTTTTAATGTGAAATGTGAGAATAAGTTTGAACAATAAAAATTCTTATAAATAATTAAGATTAAAATATAAAATTAGAATAAGTTTGATTGTGTCTGATTCAGTGGGTTGAGATAGAAACATAGCGATTCCAGTTGTGGGAGAGATCATGTCAACGTATATAGGCTACACACAAATTAACTAACTCAGTCAAACCAATATCTAATTTAGTGGCAATTTTCCTTCAAATTCCTTTTTGTGCAACCAAACACACCCTTCTGACATGTTGTGTTTTAATGTAATGACATATAACATGAAATTAAAAGGGCATGTTGGTCGATAAGATAAGCTTCTCAGGAGGAGACTTTTCTCAGCCCTTGCCATCTCTTTTACACTGCGTGTTGGAATTAATGGACTCCATTACTTGCTTTTTTTTTCTTCTATTATTTCACACGGTTTTGTTTGAAAACGAGTAACCATTTGCTTTCCTTAGATTTCGATAAAAAGTGACATTCAACAAAATAATTTAAAATATTATACAATTTGTGTATAAATATTATTTATATAATATAACTTTTAGAAGTATAATTTTATATTTTTTTTTCTTAAATTCATGAGCTTCATCATTAAGATAAATTTATTAAATAGAATGAGTACCATGAAATTATTTTTTAAGTAACATTGTTTCATATTTGTGAGAAATTAAAAAAATTATAAATAAAAAATTAAATTCAATAAAATTAGTTTATGCATAATTTTAAAAGATAATTAAATAAATAACTAATGAATATTAATTCAAACGCATATGATTAATTTTTCTTAAGTATTATTTAAATTTTAAGTCTTATAAATATTTTTTATTCAAATAATATTATTTGGCATGAAAATACTTATACTGGTCTAAAAAGCAAATATTGCACAGATGATTCTGCAGCTATGCTAACATGTTCAAGAATATCCTCACATCTCTTTTCTTGCATTCCTTTTTGTATTATTAAATAATATTTCATTTTCTCAAATTCAAGTTTTCGTATTGTCATTGAATTCAGCCAATACAATTTAGTTATTACAATAATTTATATTGAATTATCGATCACTTAAAAAATATTTTATTTTAAAAATATCAATTGATAAAATTAAAAATATTAATTATCTTTCAAAAAAGGTAATATATATATATATATACACACACAAAGAAATAAAAGTCAACAACTACACTTTTTAATTCATAATTAAGGTAATGTAAATCATAATTACATTTTAATTCTTCTAATAAAGAAAGATAATTTAGTTAAGAAATTGATAATTTTATTTAAAATATGTATTACCTTTAAAAGATAAAAAAATTCAAAATAGAGAAAATAATGTATTAGTAATTTGGAAATAAACAAATAAATAATTTAGTTATAATAATAAATAGAAAGTTAGACAAGCATGAAGCATGAATCTGAACATTGAAAGAAAACAAAAAGACCACGTTTGTCTGGTCCGGAATTTGACCATTTCGTTGGATATTCCACTAAAAAAATGGGAACGAGATTAACAAAATCTCCTAATACTACCATTTCTCCATAAAACCCCTCCGATTTCTCCGTTAGCATAACTCCTCGCTTCTCATATTGTCCTATGATTCTCTCTACCTAATGGGTTCCGAAGCGAAAGACACGCAAATTCAGAATCCAACTGAAACAGAAAACCCCAACGACAAACTTAATACCGTTTCACTTTCACCCGAAAATCACGCTAACGGCTATCAACCCGTTACTACCAACAACCATATTACTACTACTTACCCTTATGGCGGTGACCGTACCTTAAGTCACAGCCAAGTAGCGTTAGTACAGCCTCATTCACTTCTCCCCACGCCCATGCCGCCGCAGATTATGAAACCCAACACAAACGGCCACGTTCCGTCCACCTTCCCCGTCGCCGGCACCATGCCAGCCATCGGAAGCTTTCTCCGGCAGCGGAGCAGCGACCTCTCGGCGGCGATCGCGAAGCGCGTCTCGTCGTTCCGGCAGTCCGTGGAAGAAAACGACGAGTCGTATAGAGAGGGGAATCGCGAAGTGACGGAGTTCAACCTGTCTGGAGTCAAGGTCGAGGTGAAGCTGAAACAGGAGGAGGAACCGGCGATGAAAGGACGAATTAGCTTCTTCTCGAGGTCCGGTTGCAGGGACTGCACGGCGGTGCGGAGATTCTTCCAAGAGAAAGGGCTTAGGTTCGTGGAGATCAACGTCGACGTGTTCGGCGAGAGAGAGATGGAGCTACGAGAGAGAACAGGAACCGTTTCGGTGCCGCAGATTTTCTTCAACGAGAAGCTGATCGGAGGATTGGTGGCGCTGAACTCGCTGCGGAACAGCGGCGAGTTTGACCGGAGGGTGGCGGAGATGGTCGCCGAGACTGTTCCCGGCGGCGATGCGCCTATGCCGCCGGCGTACGGATTCGATTATGTGATTGACGATGGGATTGACGAGATGGTTGGGGTGGTTAGGGTTTTGCGGCAGAGATTACCGATACAGGACCGGTTGAAGAGGATGAAGATGGTTAAGAACTGCTTCGAAGGGAACGAGTTGGTGGAGATTCTGATTCAGCACTTCCATTGCGCGCGTAACGAGGTACGCTTCGTATACCGTATGTCTACGTGTTATTTTCCCGTTTGTTTCATTGGTAGTAGTATAATCACCGTATACGCGTGCCGAGTACGAGTCATAATTGTAAGAGGCATAATATTTGTGTTCCGAATGGCGTAGCGTAGGATCTGATTAATTGCAAGAGTAATAATATTTGTGATATCACTGCTATTACTTTCAAAATTATTGAGATTTGAAATGATTAGTAACTGAGGTATGGGCAGAGAAGGAAGTGGGATTTTGCTGCATTTAATTTTCACTCATTTAAGAATGGGGGTTTTGATTGTTTTCTGGATATGGCGAAGAAACATGAGTTGTAATAATGACACACATGGGCGTATGATCATAACAAGCCTCGTGTCTTGGAAACTCATTATTTATTTCGTTTTCAAATTTATGAGGGCTATGTGTAAATCTCGAATAATTTTATTTTTTTTATGTCTATGATTTTTTAAATTATTAAATAAAAAACTGTTTCAAAAATATTTTTAAGATAATAGATGTGTATATTTTTATTTAATATTTACTTTATAAAATATTTAAAATAATCTTATACAGAAGATATAGTAAAATTCATAAATATATTTTTCTTGAAACGGGGCCGTGATAGGAAAGTTTGAAACAGCTCTACGGCCAATGTTTAGGCTAAGATAAGAGGGGGAGGGAGGGTGATTTAAACTTAGATTAATAAGTTGGCATAACTTAAATGTTTTAAACTGTTAAATTGATTTTGATTTTATATTTACTAAAATGGATTCGCTTTTTTTTTTATGTATAATTAGTATAAAAATTATAGGTTGTTATTTTTATACTGTCAAATTTATTCAAAAAAATTGAAGATAATCAAATTTAAAATTATCACTAAATTTGGTAATATTGTATGTAGATTAGCGTCTGTTAACAGGGCGCCATGGTAAGGGCAATATGGCCCAAAGGCGCAAGTTTCCATGAGTCTATATTATAAAACTAGTCACCTAAATTGAGAGACTACAGTGAATTGCTCTACATTTTTATGTTTTGAATTTTTCAATCCTATGTTTTTTTTTTTCCTTTTTAATTTTTCCTCAGTTACTGTGTGGAATGTCTTTCTTATTAGAAAATACGTTGTGATATATCAGGGGACGTTTTATCATAGAATAAAATATTATCCGTTTCATCTGTGAATAAATCAAAAGAATAATTATTAGTTTCTTACAAAGTCATGCTTAGCTCGTTCGGCACGGCATTTTGGTAACCAGCCACTTGGGTTGCGTAGATTTCTTAGTGGACTTTTTTCGTTGATAAATAAATAAAATATTCAGCGGCTTCTAATTCATATGGAGTAGTGCATCTAAACTAATAATAACCTGATTAATCAAACACGGAAGGCAAACTACTTAGGATTGGTGCAGTGATCAGCTAATATTTTCTCTAGTCTACTTTATAAGAAATAAATAAATAATTTATTAAAAATAATAAAAAATAGTTATATGTTATAAATTTATATTATATTTTATAAATATTTATAATAGTAAATGATTAAATTAATGACTTTTATATTAAATAAATGAATATATTCATTTATATGAATAATAAATCAATATTTTGATAATATATATTTTACAATAAATAAGGATATAAAAAAGAATTAAAATAAATCTTTATTTTTTTAATTTAAAATAAATTTAAAAATATTAATAGATATTTTTTTAATAAATAAAATCGGAAGAACGTGAATTTTAGTTTCTGAATATGATATATTTTATGTCCTACTTTCAAACAGTTATCCCTACTTTTGTTTGTGACTGTGTTTCCCTAAAGCTAATATGCTTTGCATTCCAAAACTAATATTTAGGCTGTTGAGATCGGAAAACAGTTGTCCAGGAGGCACTTCATCCATCATGTTTTTGGGTAAGAAAAGAGCTTTTCCAAGTAAAACTAGACACTTTTCTATATGAATCACAGTATTTTGGTAATTTTCTAACTGGCATTGGCAACTTTCTTCTGCAGGGAAAATGAATTTGAGGAGGGAAATCATTTATATCGTTTCCTTGAGCATGAACCTTTTATCCCCAGATGCTTTAACTTTCGTGGTAACACGAATGACAGTGAACCAAAGACTGCAGCTGCAATATTCGCTAGGCTTACCAAGATTATGTCTGCCATTCTTGAGTCTTACGCTTCTGATGATAGGGAACATGTTGATTATGAGGCCATTAGCAAAAGTGAGGAATTTCGTAGGTATGGTAATACTTAAGTAATGTTCTTAAGTTTCAAATGTGAATGCAAATGTTTGGTGAAGTCTGCAATGCCTATTATTCAGTTTTTCCACTATTTGGGGTGGCTCCCGTGTGCTCTAGCCACCATCTTTAGTTTACCAAGTTTTTTTCCCCTTAATTAATATCTGATTATTGACTAGACTTATTATCTTACTGTTTCACTTCGAATTGCAGGTATGTAAATATGACTCAGGATCTGCAGCGAGTGAATCTCTTGGAACTATCAGAAAACGAGAAGCTTGCTTTCTTCTTAAATCTGTATAATGCTATGGTCATCCATGCTTTTATTAGTGTAGGGTGTCCAGAAGGTGTAATTGATAGGAGATCCTTCTTCAATGATTTCCAGTATTTGATTGGAGGGCATCCTTATTCTCTTAATATTATCAAAAATGGGATCCTAAGATGCAACCGGAGGTCACCATATTCCTTAGTGAAGCCCCTTAGCACAGGAGACAACCGTTTAGAGGTAAATAATATTTTTCAGTTTTCAATTTTGGAGACAGCCACGTAATATCAATGACAGAAATAACATAATCTTCACGTTTGAGGTATATAATATACGCAGAGTCAGCCCCTACATGAAATTAAAACCGTTGCTGTGTTTATATGCATTATGCTTTTTATGGTTTTAAAAAACATTCTTGTTTATTTTTCTCCAAGTTGTAGATGAATTTTTGTGTTTTACTTTTTCAAAAGTCATTTTATTATACTAGCACTAAATTTCTATATCCTATGGCAATAATAACCTGTTCCTGACAAATTGCAGGTTGCTCTAGTCAAGTTTAATCCGTTATTACACTTCGGACTTTGTAATGGTACAAAGTCTAGCCCAAAGGTGAGGTTCTTCTCACCCCATAGAGTTGTAGATGAATTAAGGGGAGCTGCAAGAGAGTTCTTTGAGAATGATGGAATTGAAGTGGACCTGGAGAAGAGAACCGTTCATCTAACTCGGATTTTCAATTGGTAAGCACTAAGCAGTTCGAGCTTTTCTGCAGCCTTGGTTCTGACTTGTATAATATTCTAGCTCCCTTATGACTTTTCTTTCTTTGGCAGGTTTAGTGGGGATTTTGGACAAGAGAAAGACATACTAAGGTGGATAATTAATTACTTGGATCCAAATAAAGCAGGTCTCTTGACACATCTTTTGGGAGATAATGGACCGGTTTATATCTCTTACCAGACTTTTGATTGGTCAATAAATTCTTGAGATTCAGCCACTGAATATACGGAATGTTTATTGGACGTGTCTTATTCCAACCAAAGGAGAGATTTTAAGTGATGCGATACCAAAGCAGATAATTCGTAGATGTAATATCATTTTCGCACGCCTCATGTGCCAGACCTGTTATATGCAGAAACTCTAGATCGTATAGTTAAGATTAAGATTTTTTCTTTAGAAAGAAAAAAAGTTGGCTGTATTGATAAATACATTACAAAATCATAGGTAGGAACAGATTCTATAGAGGTTTGACTATGATGACGTTGCAAACCGCTTCGGAGTTGTGGAGCTGTCTTCCCCTGTAAATATCATTGAACTAATGGGGTGTTATGTCGGTTGCTACTATTTTATTATGCTATAGCAAAATTTATTGCGAGAATTTGTTTGTATTGAAGTGCATATTATTCTGTTTTTCACCCATTTTTCTTTCATTTGCCTCTTTCATAACATGGGGTTAATTCAATATTATGGCATAACATTTTTGGCTGTTGCTGCGAGGTATATCTATATCTCTGCCTGCACCAATTATAACTTAGTTGCGGTTGTTTTAAGATGCGTAAACTATTTTCCCAAAAGGAAAAGAAATTCGTGAGCATTTATATTCACAAAAAGTTACCCCTTTTTTTGCTGGATTTTTCATTTCAGTGGTGAGGAACCCTGGCAAATTCAAAAAAAAATTAAAGGGAGGAGTTAAAAGTGAATAAAATTTAACTTAGAAAATATGAACATAACATAATATAATATACTAGATTAAATTAAAATTAAAAAATATTAACAAATTAAATTACAATGGATAATTCATAAAATTTTTAAAAAATTATAAATTATTATAGAAATAAAAATGTTAAATTTATTTAATTCTTGTGGCATTTATTTGTATAAGAAGATTTATGAATATAAATAAAAATTACAAAATGTAATTAAAAATATTCAAAACGAATACATGTTTAACGTGAAAATATCGCGACATAACTAATGTTTAAAAGTATCTTTACTTTCTTATTCACTTTAGCGCATATATAATTATATTAATAATATAATATATTTTAAAAATCTTTATGTATAATTAAAAAGGGGTTTAGGAGGGGTTGAGGAGGGGTTGAGCCACTGTTAACTAGTATCTTCCGTATTAAATAAATAAATAATTTATCTATTTACATAATTAAAGGATGAATATCATGTAGCTTCAATATGTTTTAATTATTTTTAAATAAAATTTATTTTAAATTATTATCTACTTATTTTTTATTTTAATACTTAACTAATTTTTTTTAATTTTATATTTAATATTAACCTCTGCCAGTTAAATGATAATATAACTTATAATTTGTCATGTTGCTTTCAATATCTTTTCTCCACCTTATTTTTAAATTTTCTCGTCGTAAATTTACATTAGCATTTAATTAAGACTCAAGCACACGATATTTTAAAATTCAATTTTTTTATATTGGAATTTTAATTTTTTTTTAAAATAAAATATTGATATAAATTTATGATGTAAAAATTTAAAGATAAGAAAGAAGAAAAATATTAAAGATGACGTTTTAAAATTTGAACACGTAATGAAGAAAGTTAATATCAGATAAAAAATTAAAAAAATTAATTATTAAAATATTAATAAATAATAATTTAAAATAAATCCTATTTAAAAGCAGTTAAAATATATTTAAGTCATATCATATTAATATAAAATTTATAATAAATAAAAATATTTAACAATTAATATATTTAAAAATAGATATTTATCAAAATGAAAATATTAGTAACTATTTTTATAAACAAAATTAGATAAAATATTAACTTTGTTTTAAATGTTTATTTTGCTTTTTATTATTTAAATTGTATTAAAATAATAATTAATATAGACGAGCAGGGTAGTAAGGAAGGGGTATGGCATGGGCCAGGCCCAAATAATAAAAGAAAGACAGTGGAAATGAGTAGCACTTGGTGCAGGCAGCATTTGTTGGAAGAAGAGAGGAGAGGAGAGAAGAGGGGAGAGAGAGAGAGAGAGATGAGCGACGGAGGAAAGCGACAAGGTGGGAGAGGATTGGGTGGACCTCCGAGAGGACCTCCACCACCACCCTCTCGTCCTCCTCGCCTTGAACCTGTTGATCGCGAAAAGACTTGTCCCTTACTCCTTCGCGTCTTCACTAAGATTGGATCTCACCATTCCATGGAAGACTTCGCTGTTCGCGGCAAGGAGCCCAAGGACGAAGTCCAGATTTATACTTGGAAGGACGCCACTCTCCGCGAATTAACCGATCTTGTACCCTCTCTCGCTCTCTCTCTCCATCTCCTTATTTAGGGTTTAAACTCATTCTCAACCTCTAACTATTTAGGGTTTTTTTCAGGTCAAAGAAGTGGCTCCCGCTGCCAGAAGAAGAAACGCCAAGCTCTCCTTTGCTTTTGTCTTTCCTGATAAAAATGGTCGTTTCAAAGTTCAAGAGGTATATATATATATATGCTCTTCTCTTCTTTGCATATGGATATACTGTCACTCTCTGTGTTATTCATTCACATTGGGTTGTTTATTTTCATTTATTAAATAAAAAATGGCTCAATACCCTCTTCTCTTCTAGGGAGTAGAGACTTTCACCTCCGACTGCAAAAGAAAATCAGTCATCGTTGCTGTGCTTCCTTCACTTGTCCTTTCCCGAGCCTTAGTCCCCCTTCTCGGCATGCTATACCGTACCGACGCTGGCTCCATACCCTTAAGCTAGCAAAAGAAAAGGTTAAGACATCCTACTGGATACTTTACCCAATCTTTTGCTAAGGGGAGGAGAAGCAGAGGGAAGGGAAGCCCTCGCCCTAGCGGCCGGGGCTTTATAATACATTAGTGAAACCAATTAAATGGCTCTTAGCAAACACTTGTAAATTGTAATGTATGTGCAGAATCAGTTGTTTGTGAACTTATTTAAACATGTTTGTTTTTAGGTTGTTGATACCCATTTTGCAGAGTTTTGTGAACCTCATTTTTTGTTACTGTTTTCTTTGTCAACTCTCAGATTCTCAAATGTCTTTTTGTAGTAAATGTGTGCTTCTTTTTGTATACCCTCATTGGCGCCTTTTCCCTCAGATTACTGTTGCAGAGATATTCACCATTTTGATTTCAATCTTAACGTCACAACTCTTTAATGCCAAGAGATTTCCATATTTTCTAAAAGACTATTTAGTTCTTCCCTTCTCTTAGGGTATGTTTGGACAATGGAGTTGGAATTATAGTATTGAAATTCAATTCTAATTTTGTTAGAATTGTAGTTAGTTATTTTATCTTTGACTTATGCAAAGAATCACGGCATAGAATTAGAATTCTAAGTTCATTTACCATTCCATTGTTTAGATATAAAATCTAGAAATTGAAAATAAAATTGATTATAAATCGTTTATTAAAAATTTGTTTAGTGTACAAGTGATTGTATTATATGGGTTGGGGTGGGTTTGGGAGAAAATCATCCAAATCAATTAAATAGGGTTGGGGTTGGTTCAGGTTGATATTTGGGAAAATTTTATTTAACCTGTAATGAACCAATGTGGTAAAATCTGGGTTGGTTGAGTTGGTTCAAGTCAGTTAATCAAGTTGCATTAACAAATTAAAACAGAGGGTGGGGGTAGGGTATGGGTTTGAGGCGAGCTGGGTGGGGTGGGTTTGAAGTTTATGGTCCAGAAATTCAACTCAAACTAAACAGGCTTTATTATGTGTTACGTGATTTAGGTTTAAGCTTCAGGTCAATGCTTTGTTCATAGGTTTCTGAGAATCCATGCCCACCACTATCTCTAATTCTTAGATGTGGAATTGACTATTTTTAGGGTCTTTATCATGAATTTGAGATGACACAAGCTAACTTGTGCTCCATGGACTTGTCAGTTATCATAGAATTATGAGTCTAATTAAGAGAAGTTCCAAAAATTAATAATTAGGATTAATGGGGCCAATTCCAACTCCATCAATTCCAGACGATGAACAACCGTAAATAACTGACATTTGTTGTGAGTCACGGCTTTCTTTTCATGTTGAATCAGTCTCATATTTTGTATTTCATACTCGATTGCTTCATGTAGGTGGGTAAAACATTATCTTATGGAAACGGAAGATTAGATGATGGCAAGGCTTTAGCTGAACTTGGTTTTGAGGTAAAGAACCTGTTTTTCTTCTTGCGTTTTTACTTGATCACTTCACAAATTGTGTTGCTGACTTACTTCGTTAATGTGCAGATCGGTGATTACTTGGATGTGGCTATTTTGTAGGTTATTGAGGATGACATCACAACTTTTGTTATGTGTTTTAGCTGCTTGTGTGTGGCCTTGAAACACTAGGCCTAAAAGCCTATTTAGGAGTTAAAAGACTGTACTTACAGAAATGTTTAGCTGTTAATGTCACATGCTATAAAAATGATCCAATATCTTTGGTTGCAAAAATGATAGATTGACGACTTGATCAGGCAGAAGACCCATTTTTATTTTTTTCATTTTAAAATTTTATTAAAAATTAACAAAAATATAATGAAAATATGATATATTATTGATTTGTAATAAATGAATAAAAATATTTAAATAAAGATAAACTTGAAAAATAATGAAATGTTTTTTATTGCTATTGAATTGTTTTATATACTTTTTCTTTTGCAAATAGTGCATAAATTGCTAATACATTATATCTTTATTATATTTTTGTCAGTTGTTGAATAAATTTTTTAGTTTAAGAACGTAATTATAAGAATTAAATATTATTAATTAAAATTAGAGGGGTTAAATATATAGACACGCGCACACTAAAGTATGAACATTAGAAGTGTAATTAAATAAAAAATGTAAGAAAACAGATTAACTGAAGACAGTCTTTTGAGGACAGTTGATATATATATATATATATATGTATTATTGGTTAAATTTATTAAAAATTAAAGAAAAATGTTAATTTAAGAGAAAAATTGAAATCTAAATAATTTTTAATAAATTTTAACTTGTTAAAAAAAAAAGTGCAGTTAGGCATCCTATCACTATCGGCAGTCTGCTGAAATAGAAAATGGTTTGTAGGGAACGTTAGTCTGGCAATTAATACGAGTCATCTCATCATCAATTTTGGCGATATGGTTAGCAGTATGCCTCCGGCTCCCTCCTCATTTCTAATTTACTGTTAAAACTACTACGCACCTGTCATTTGTCTATAAATCAGATCTTATTTATTGTTCATCAAACGTCTTATTTCCTACACTGTATCATGTTTGATTTACTGTCCAATTACCATTACACGATAAATTAGTAATATCAAAAGCTCGGAGAAGGAACTCTAGCCCGCTCACAATGAGGTTCCTAATACCCCATTTTTTATGCCATTCAAACCCTTAAAAGCCTCAAAGCTCAACTCTTAACAATTCTAGTTACTCTAACCTTTCATTAAAAAACCTTTCACAATTTCTATCGTTATGTTGTGTTGCATACTAATATTCCTATGTCAGATGATCTCAACATATTGTCCCAAAGGTTTCTTTTAAGTCAGACAGACATTAGTTACTCAACTGGAATGGCTGATAAAACGAGCCCAACTGTCCACTACAATTGAGTCCCCAAAAGCATGCATTATACTTTTAGGTGGCTGTTCGGCACATTTTTACTTGGGTCATCTTCTTATTACATCTTTCAAAATTAGTTTAAATACTATTTGATTATACACGAGACTCGTATTTTTAACATTTTTAGATTACAAAAATTTATAAATGAATGTTGTTATGCACCAATATTTGAGATATGAAATCTTATGATAAGAATGATGGGAAAATAAATGTTGATTATAACACGATATGATAGAATAGATAAGTAGTGATAGTGAATATAAAAATGTTAAAAATAATATTTATATAAAAATAAATTAAGACATGAAGTTGATAATAAAAAAGTATCAAGTAGAATATGAGATTTATTTAAAAAATTTAGAATACTTCTTAAAAAATGATAAAAAAATATTAGTTGATATTAATATAAAAATATCATTACAATAATAAAGACAAAATTATAAAAAAAAATATTTTATATAAGAATTATAAGATAAGACAATTTAAACATAATACGTTAGATAATCGTTTATCATATAATAGAAGGAGATAACATCCTTAAAATATATCATAACAAAAGAGATAAAATTAAAAATAAATTTTTTATATGAATTAATATATAGTTTTTTTTATCAATAAAACTAAATTATAAAAAAAAATTATATAAAAACAAAAGCATTATTTAAAACAAAAAAATTAATCTCTTGTGTTAATTTGTGTCATAACAATTTTATCTCATATTTAAATATTTTTTTAACTTTTATACAAAACACAAATTTTTATAATAATCTTTATACATATCATAGTATTCATTTTTGTTCTTACATAAAAAAAAAATGTGTTACATGTTAAGTTCACAATAAAAATAATGTAATAAAATAAATAAAAGACTGATGGTAAAATAAAATTTATCATAAAAACAAGTTATAGTAATTTATGATAAATTTTAAAAAGCGTTTCTTAACTCTAATTAATATCATTATATCTTAGTAAAATAGTAAAATAAAATTATTATAAGATAATTTTAGAAAAAAATTATAATTTTATTATTAGTAATAAAAGTATCACACTATTTCTATATAATTTTTTTAATATTTAAAAAAATAAAGAAAATAAAACAGAAAACAACCAAAACAACACGAACATATCGGTTTTTTTTTTTTCTTCAAAGCTCGTGTTGTTTGTCTAACGACCCTTCTAAAGCTTATCAAAATAAGGAAAGAAACCCGGAAGAAGATAATTTGAAGAAATGACGTGATTATCAGGACACGATAACGACGTCGTTTCCACCATCGGCGCCGTTATCTGATTATGAAACCCCAACAACGAAGATTAGAATATCATAAATAATTGCCTCGCATGATTGACAGCCAAGAAAATAAGAAAGAAAGCGATAGAAAGAGCGAGAAAACAGTAAGCACGAGAAAAAGAAAATCCCAAGCAGAAGAGAGAGAATGTTATCATCACCTTCTCTCTCTCTCTCTCTAACTTTCTTCCTTCATCTCACTGTCGCACACGGACTTAACGCATTGATTTCTCTCTCTATCACACGCTCCCACACATTGGTGTTTGTGTCGGTTTGAAACTTCGAATCACGGACTCTCACGCGCACAGTGTTCTTAGTCCACTCTGTTGGTCACGGATTTCGACTAGCATTGCGTCTTAAACCCTCACTGGAACAGTGGAACTAGATCGTAGTTCGATCTATCTCACTCTCACTCTCACTCTCTGAATGCTGCTTTCTCACTCTAGGTTTTGAAGGTTTCTTTTCGCTTTTCGATCCGCAATGGCGCCAAAGCGAGGGTTTTCCTTCGCTAAGAACAGAGGCAAAGGGTCGTGTTTCCCTGTTTTCGGTTTCGTTCTCCTCTGCGTTCTTGCGCCAGTGGTTTTCTTCCTCGGTCGGGGGCTTTACCCTGCGGGTTACTCTCTCTCTCTCTCTCCGTGTTTTTTTTTCTCTATTTATTTGCATTTCAAGCATTTATAGATCTCAGTAATGAGTATTGTTAGTTAATTTAGTGTTTGAGAATGGTTTTTTGTTAGCATTTGTTTTTAATTTTTGGTTTAATTGAATTGGGGAAGTACTTTGAGTAGTTGTAGGGTAGAGTCCCTAGTTAGAAGCAGAGGAGTTTCTGAAAGTGTATTTGTGATTGCTTGTTTTTAATTAATTGCTTTGGGGGGCAATTTGATGATAGAAGGGTGTTTGTTTTGGTGTTTTTGTATGGTAGTGGAAAGGTGGCCTAGTTTTCCGGGATTCGTGAGCTTGACTAGTTTTTTGTGTGGTGTCACTGACGTCACTGTTTTGACTCTGGTTTGAAGGTTCTCTCAAGTTTTGTCTTATTCTTGTCCTTCCCTTTTATTCCAAAATTAGTCCTTTGTAATTTGAGATGTGATGTGATCTATTTTATGTTTTGTTTGGTTTGGCATCTGTGGATTAGGGACTTGGGAGTGTGGTGATAGTTGATGTGGCGGTTGTGCAAATTTTTTTAGTTGCTAGTAGGTGATAGCGTGTGTTGTAAAATGGTGATTGTTCCTCCCGCTAAATTATGCTCGGAATTTTTTTAAATACAGTTGTGTGAAGTTCACTTGATGGAGATTGCAGGCTCCAGTGATCATCAGATGAGAACACTGCAAAAATAGGTATGGCAAGGTTTGAGTTGGTAGCAGTGTGCGCTTGGCATTAGTGCTGGGTACTTTTAACTAGTAGTATTTTTTTATAAGAAAAGCAGCAAAGGCACCTATTGTATGGAAATTTATGGTGAATCTACTTTGCACTTTCTTTAGAGATCCAAGGGCTTTGTGACTGTATGAGAAAAGTGATTCAACCTTGGAGTAACAGTGAAAAACGAAATACTTGTAGGCTTGTAGCTATGGCTAATTTAGAAGAGGAAATTGATGAGTCTCTGGCTGGATTGTTTAAGGAAGCATTATTTCTGATAAGGATGAAGTTGCTTCTTGTTTAAGGAAGCATTAATTGGTATTAGTGTTTTTCACTGTGTCTCTTAGCTGCAAATGAGTAACATGGGTGGTGACACCAACATTGTAGTGTTTGCCTAAGACTAGTCAAAGGGTTGGTGCACAGCCAGCCCACATGGGTGCCAGGGCTGTAAATTGTGATGGAATGTTAAGATTGAATTACAAGTTATCAGACTTGAGTCTCACTTGTAGTGTGGTTCTTGTAAGCATGATAGTCAAAATCGAGTTATGATCATAAAATGCAGGATCGTAACTTGATTTTAAGATCCTTCAAATTCAAATATGTGAATGTGTATGTGTGTGTGTGTATATATATATATATCAGAAATAAGAAAAACAATCTTTAAATGTCTACAAAAACTTAATTAAACTTAAATTGAAAATCTATAATAAATCATATGTAACTTCTAAGTCCCAAAATAATGGATTAAGCTGAAGTGGTAAAAACTCTGAATACAGCACATCGAGCTTTTGACTGGTGATTTCAAAAGATGAATTTTTTAGGGATAGGAACAGGTGATATCAATCCTCAAAGGCCACACTTTGAGTAATGAAAGGGAAGTGAAGATGGAGGGGAAAATCATTCCTATGACTAGTGCAAGGGTAGAACGAAGGCTCTGTATTTGATTTTGGCAGTTCAGTCAACCTGCCACTACCACCTAAGCCACCTGTCCTGGATTCAGCTAGGGAGACAGATGGGTCATCAGCAGGGATGATAGCCAAGTCTGCACTGCCAGATCCAACTCTTTGAGATGGAGCTTGTGCCCATAATTCCTTTTGCACTGACTATATTGCATTTGGAGACACTTCAGAACTTGGGAATTTGATTAAGGCTTTTGGGCAGGAATTGCAGAAGTGCTTTGAATTAGAGTTGGAGCTGACCTTTGAAGGATAATCTAGACTGCTGTCTTCAGTGATGGCTTTCAGTTTACTGCTGGCAAAATATATTTCTATGTAATGCTTTTTGTTTCTTTTTGTTATTGGAATTGTAGAAAGCCAATATTTGTTGGTCCTTATGTTTCAAGCAGTGGGACACTTCAGCTTGGGGATAAGGTGAAACTTTTGGGGAGAGTGTTGTCAGGAGACCCCTTATTGTTAGTAAGTTAGTTTTAATTAGAGAGAGGAATAATAGAGTGTTAATAATAGGGAGGGAAAGAAGAGATAGAGTCTTTTGTTTGAGTTGAAATTGGGTGGGAAAGTTCGAGTCTCTTGAATATCTGGAGTGTAGACAGGATATTCATTTCTATTGTACATTTGTGATCTCTGGGCCTTGTATCACATTGATGTGGGTCTGTCTAGTCCGAGGGCATTCTTTCTGACTCATTCTGTACTAATCTATTTCTTTCTCTAAGAATTCTCTGAGGGTTTTCATTCCTATGGTGTCACAATTTATGGGATATTATTATTGAGAAGCTTTTCTTGTTTTGAACACTATTCTCTCAGGATTGATGAAGTTGTTAGTTTATTATTGTAAGTAGAAGCATTTGTTCCTTTAACTGAACCAAATGTGTCATATTTTATTCTGTTAGAGACTCATATCTACATTTTTTCTTTTGGGTTTTATGAGTTTACAGGCATTTAAGTTTATTTATTTTTATTCTAAATCTTCTAGATATTCCTCAATCACCCAATTTTTAATTCTTTTAACATCAGACTCAACATCTGAAGATGTTAGTTTTCCACAAGTTCTAGCAATTTTTATTAATTCATATAAATAAATGTTCAAGTATTTTAAATATTTTATTTTTATTACTCTGTCCTACTCATGTCCTAAATTTTAAAAAAAAATTGTTTTTCCCTGTATCTGATCTATCTGTATTGATTGTTTGTGGATAAGAAAAATAAATTTTATTAGCATGCTTCATTTATCTTCTCTCCTTCCTTGTGCCTGAATTATTTCAATACATGGTGCAGATCAAGACTACATTTCAGATATTCCAAGTAAACAGGTATCCTGTTTTATGCATTATTGCTGTGTTGATACTTGGTAGAGGCTCTGGTTTTTTTTTTATTTTTTGGGTCTTTCTTAAAACCAAGTTGTGGACTGATACAGGTTACCAAATCTAGAGAATGGCAGACATTGCAGGACCTTAAATCACTTTTTTCAAAAGAGGTAAGAACAGGCTTATAAAGTTTTGGGCCTTCATCCTTATGTAACATTATTTTTCGTGTATGAGTATTTCTTGGTTTTCTGATAAATATTATATTTTAGGTTCTTGATATTGTTGTATCCAGCACAAATGATATGGGGCCTTTGAGTCTTGACAATTTCAGAAAAAATTTGTCTGCTTCATGGAGGGTTGTTGGATTAGAAACTTCAAATACTAGATATGAGGTTTGGAAGGATGTGCTTCTGCATGGAACTTTAAATTCCAAACTAAAAAAACGAGATATTTTTATTTTATTGCTTCTAAATGTTATCTGTGTTTTAATTTTTTTTAATTAAAGCTAAACCAACCAACAACACATGTTAGACAAGAAAAGGCAAAGGTGAAGGAAGGCAGATCTTCAGGTGGTATCATACGCTCATTTAATATGCCAATGTTGCTTAATTTACTTTCTAATTCTTTTATTTACTTGTTAGTGCAGATGGTCTTGCCCGGTGGACTGATAGTCCTACACATCAATCCCGAAGGGTGAGCATCATTCTTTCTTATTTACACTTAGCTTGTTTGGATACATGTTAGGTTAGTGTAACTGCACTGTGAATATGTTCTCTACCTGATTTTTGTCTCTGTCTTTCATTTCAATAAAGGCGAAAGTATTTTTCCTACCTTGAATGGCCTAAATATTTGTGTGGCAAGAAATAACATTTTGTTAGAGCACATCGACACATGTTGGAATTTTATAATTTTGTTCTCACTCAATACTATTTTAAAATATTTATTCTATTTTTGTAAATTTACTGTGAATTTTTTTTACAGCACTGGTGCTGTTCCAACTTTTTCCATTATGGAAAAAGTTAGAAAAGATGATAGAAACTTGTCTTTGGTAGTTTTGATACGTGGAAAAGACCTATAAAAGCATCAATAAGGACAGTAGATCAAATGGAGGGTATTCCAATCACTAGATGCAGGGGGACTGAGAAAAGATGTAGGTGAAATCGTTAAGAGGATTTATAGGTCAATATTTTGTCTATAGATATGATTTACAGCAGAACATTACAATGTTATCTGATTCATGTAGTCAATCTCGTGTTGTGGGAAAAGGCTTGCTTGTTGTTTGTGTGAAAAGCAAACACATTCTAAGTAAATTTCTTGTACCAAACGTGTAACAATATTCTGTTTGAAAAATATATTTTGATTTGGAGTGATTTTTTTCATGGGAAAAAAATGAAAAAAAAAAACTTCCTTCATGTCTTGATAATTATTTTCTGCAGCACTTAATAGAGAAAAGGCGGGAAAAGCGTGCTGCTGAGTTGGTAAAACTGGATGATGAAGGGATTGTAAAACTTGAAAATGCAGCTATTGAACGCTCAAAATCTGTTGAGTCAGCCGTTCTTGGCAAATACAGCATTTGGAGGAAAGAAATTGAAAATGAAAATGCTGATTCTACTGTTCGGTTGATGCGGGACCAGATCATTATGGCTAGAGTATATTTAAGTATTGCAAAGATGAAGAACAAGCTTGAACTGTACCAAGAACTATATTCTCGGCTCAAAGAGAGTCAACGCGCTTTGGGTGATACAATTTCCGATGCGGATCTACATCAAAGGTTTGGAAACTCTGTAATTTTATTTAAAATGTATATTAATCCAAATTTGTATGCCTTCATCTGAATTGGCTGACCTAACTAGTTGAGTGTTTAATTATCACTAGTGCACATGGAAAAATAAAGGCTATGGGGCAAGTTTTGTCAAAAGCAAGAGAGCAATTGTATGACTGCAAGCTGGTCACTGGAAAACTGAGAGCAATGCTACAAACAGCTGATGAGCAAGTTAGGAACTTCAAGAAACAGAGCACATTCCTCAGTCAGTTGGCTGCCAAGACCATACCAAATGGAATCCATTGCTTATCTATGCGCCTTACCATAGATTACTACCTCCTTCCTCCTGAAAAGAGAAAGTTCCCTAGGAGTGAGAATTTGGAGAATCCCAGTCTTTATCATTATGCACTGTTTTCAGACAATGTCTTGGCTGCATCTGTTGTTGTCAACTCAACTATTACAAATGCAAAGGTGACTTGGGCTATCTTTTTTACCATACCAGTATTTATGTGCATGTCCTTCATCTGCATTATTTCCTTTTATTGAAGGAAAATAATTTAGTGCCTGGACCAAAGGACCATCATATCTAATATCTTGCATGTGCAGTACATATATGATTTAATAAATTATATTATTAAACCCAGCCATCATTATCTTTATGTTATTACTTACATTTCAGGATCCTTCAAATCATGTTTTTCACCTTGTTACTGATAAACTGAATTTTGGAGCCATGAACATGTGGTTTCTTTTGAACCCTCCTGGAAAAGCTACAATCCATGTTGAAAATGTTGATGATTTTAAGTGGTTGAATTCATCATACTGTCCAGTCTTGCGGCAACTTGAATCTGCTACAATGAAAGAGTATTATTTTAAGGCTGGCCATCCAACCATACTTTCTTCTAGTGCCTCCAATCTGAAGTATAGAAATCCAAAATATCTCTCCATGCTCAACCATCTGAGATTCTATCTTCCGCAAGTTTATCCAAAATTGGATAAAATCTTATTTCTTGATGATGACATTGTTGTTCAGAAGGATTTGACTGGATTATGGGCTGTGGATCTAAATGGAAAAGTAAATGGTGCAGTTGAAACTTGTGGTGAGAGCTTTCATCGATTTGACAAATATCTTAACTTCTCAAATCCTCATATTGCAAGAAATTTTGATCCAAATGCTTGTGGTTGGGCATACGGGATGAACATATTTGATCTGAGGGAGTGGAAAAAGAAGGACATCACTGGCATATATCACAAGTGGCAGAATATGGTAAGCAGTTGAATATATTGTTTTACATAATGGGTCTATTGTCACACGAATAGATGGGTACGTGCATTTTTACTCACAATTTTTTCTGTCTGATTCTAGAATGAAGATAGGGTGCTGTGGAAGCTGGGGACATTACCTCCAGGGCTAATGACATTCTATGGGCTGACACATCCGCTAAATAAATCATGGCATGTACTTGGTTTGGGTTATAATCCAAGTGTGGATCGATCAGAGATTGAGAACGCAGCCGTTGTACATTACAACGGTAATATGAAGCCATGGTTAGAAATTGCCATGACAAAGTATCGGTCTTACTGGACCAAATATGTCAAGTACAATCATCCCTATCTTCGTAACTGTAAGTTAAAGGAATAGTCCTGATAATTGGTTCCTAATTACAGAGAAGAATTCTCTCTATTTTCTCCAGCCTTCCCCACTTTCTTTCACCTTTCTGGCTGGGCTATTTCCACTACAGTGAAGCTAGAATGATGATCAATGTCTTATAAGGGATAGGGTCAGCGCATGTTCTATATCTGCCCACTACATTATCTCTTTCCCACATTGATTTTTGCTTTCAATTCATTTAATTTGTTTACACCACTCTCACCAAATTGAAACAAGATACAGAAGTAGTAACCTTGTTTACCATAAAAAAAAACTCATTGTACAATACTCTGATGCTCAGACTGGACTAGAAATTAAATATCATATTTCTGTATTCTTTGTAAAGTAACTTGCCTGTTCAGTTTTCAGAGCTTAGTTGTTATTGCATATACTGATCTTTCATCTCTCAAATCATGAAATTTAAAGAATGATTTTTGTCTGTTTATTTTTTATTGGTATTTTCATTCGTTTTACTTTTGCACTAGTTGTGATGTGAAACTTGTCCGGCGAGAGTTTGGCATTTTGCTGATTTCTAGGATAATGTAATCGTTGTTATTGTTGCGTGTCGGTATTTACTTATTATGTGTATGCATTCTTTGGCCAATAAAGGAAAGGATTTTGTTGCATGTCTTGTAGGCATCATGTCATTAACTTGTCTTATTATTAAATTATTGTTGAGATATTGCCATACGCAGTGCAATGCAGCAACATGATGTTTATATAAGCAAAAAGACTTGCTTACGTGCTTGAGGTGTTATTTTCTAATTAAAAAAGAATGTAATATTTTTTTAATATGAGGTGGGGCAAAATTAGTATGTGTGAAAGATATTTGCTTGCGCTAAGATTAAGTTGTTGAATTTATTTTATTTAATAATTTGTGCAGATATTAAATCTAAAAATATTATGTAATTAAGAAAAGAGTAATGTTATTTTAATACTCAGTTTTGGTGTCTATACCAGACATTTTATATGACTATAACATAACTGCTTTTTAATTTGCATATAGTATTTGGTATAAACATATAAACTGCGGGTTAAAATAACTTTACTCTTAAAAATAATATTTTATTTTATGTATAATCTTATTTAAATGTATATTATTTTTATAATATAGTTAATGATTACAATCATATGTAGACAAATGTTTATCTATATTTTAATATGCACTAAGATGAATGGATTTTTAAGCCTAGAGAATCTTTAATATATTAATAATAAACGGATCAAATTGTAACAAACAAATAAGTGTGATAAAAGATTTTGTGCGATAAAAATTTATTAATAGTATTTAGAACGTGTTTAGACAAGTGTGTTACACACTTTTTTCTTCTTTGAGATGATAACTTTTAATTATATCATGACAGAGTTACGCAAAACTAAATTAAATTATTTATTCAATAATCATATTCATATATGAGCATAGTACTTTCACCTTTTTTTATTACATTAGCTCTCAATCTTTTTTCTTTTATGATATTTTGTTCACTCTCTTCTGCTCCATACACACAGGAAGCATTATTGTTATTCAAATGCATCTTAAATTACTCATGGTGTATTTATATTTGTGTTAAATTTACGCAAATGTAAATTCATTATAATACGAAAAGTTATAATTTTATGTTAGAATATAATTTAACATAATTTTATTGAGTTTTTAAACACACGTTAATATATCTTCAGATTCACGTTGAAAGACTTACAAATATTAATCAACCAAAAGTTAGAATTAAATGTAGATTTGCAGCATTTAAATATGAATCCAAGCAAACTGTTATAAGTTGTTTTCAAAAGTAAGTTAATAAATATGGTGCTGTATTTGGTGTTCTCACCTGAATTTAAGACCATTTTTATTGTGGCGAAATTTTCCACCGTCTCTGTGGCATCATTTTAAATGTTAGAATAATAGTTTTGTCTTTCCCTGTAAACTTACATTAAATTTGATTCCATGAAACTTTATTCTCTCTGCATGCATGGTTTTAAAATTGCGTAGTTAGTTACCTGTCATGTAATTTTTAAAAAGTTATGTTTTTATTGAATAAAATTAAAAAAATCAAAGTCTAAATATATAAATACTATTAAATTTTTATAATGAATATGACCTAAGTAATATTTTTAAGCTTTAAACCCAAAAAAAAATATTTTAAAAATATCACATTTATTTTCTTTTGAGTGAGGTACAGTTTATGGACGACACACGGACGAGGGACTGATTGTTAAATAATTATCGGTTATAATTATTGATAAAAATTCTTCTAAAATAAGCTTTTTTTTAAGTGAATAAGTAAGAATGGAATTATTTTCAAATTCAATGATAAAATTAAATATAGTTTAAATTACACAAAAAGTAAATACATTTTTTTAATTAAAAAAATTACAGTGTGTGATTCACTCACTTTAAAAGAAAAAAAAATCAATTATAATAACTGATGATGTGATATGGTTTTGGGATTGATGTGTTCTTATCCCATTTAGCTGCTTGAATTGACAAAGCTTTATCATCTCTTTCTTTTGCTTTGCAACTCAAATCTCAAATAAGAATCGTTTGTCCCCCACTATCTTGTGGACTACAGCACTCAAATATGCCACACTATCATTTAAAATGAAAATGACATTCACACAGTAATTTCTTTAACAATAAAAAGTAAAAAATGAGAGAAAATTATCACATTCAGATTTCATTGCTCTATCATAGAGATCAATGAAGGTTTATATTCGTATAGATTCTAACAAAGAAAAATTACTAATTTCTAATTTGACTCCAATGACACTGATCTTAGAAGCCTTCCCTCTCCTCAGAAACACAAATTTCAATTTGAATGCGCTGCATGTTTTATTTTTATAGTGCTATTAAATAATACATTAGCAAATAGTTCAATATGTTGATTTTTTAAGTAATGATTATGAAAGCCAAACTTTTCTTTAATAACTTGGTAATGATTACATAATAATTTTTAAATTAATCTAAAACATATTGTTAGCCAGAACACACAATTTTATTCACTACCTAACAATAGGTCAATAGTACAGTGATCATTGTATTGTTTCAAATAGTTTTTCTCTTTTTTTATACACTTAATTTTGATAAATTTTTATGTGCCTCTTTAATCAGGACTCTAATAATATTGTTTATGGAATTAAAATTAATTAAAAAATATTAAATTACATTAAAAATTACCCAAAAAATTAACCATTTCTTATCAAAATTGTTTCACTTTTTATTCTTTAATTAATATTAAGTATTTTCATATTTATTCTGAAACATGTTGACATATTCATTATTGTTGTTTGTACATTTCACCATTTAATTATAGTTAATTTTACTTTATCTTCTACATCAATCCCCATGCTATGAAATTGAATCATTATATTATATTAAGTGTAAGTGTGTTTCTTAATTCTTTTAGCGTGTAATATATATATATATATATATATATATATATATATTTATTTTAAATTCTGTTATTTCAGCTTAAATTACTTACAAATTTATTTTATTTTAAAATTTTGAGTAAAGAATCTACCTCATTATCAATAAGCTGAAATAACATTAAATGGATTTATTTTAATTTACACAGTAATTGAATGATCCATATTTATTTTTTCTTGAGTGAAAATGAAATTTTTTGCTTTCTCTTTGAGCTTTCTATCTCTCTCCCACCTCTTCTCCTCCTCACCCTCCCACTACACTTCCCTTTTCCCAACTCTTACTCTACTTTTCTTCTTTTCACAATTTTTTTTAAAAGTGAATTTATTTAAATGAAAATAGAATTGAGACGTCGTAATCTAAAATAAGTTTGAATCCAAGATAACACCTTAAAATATTTATTATGTAAAATAATTTTTAAAAATATTTTCTTTTAACGAGAAATGACTGAATCATGTCCTTAAAAAAGCAATTATTATCTAACATAAAAAATAATTATCATCCTGTAATAGTTAAAAAAAATGATTGTACAGCTCAATTTAATTATATTTTGTTTTATAATTATTATCATGACAGAGACTAACATGTCCAGTAGAAATAGTTCGAAGCTACTACATTGTAACATATTTAGGACCAAATTGAGTCTTCAGTCTAGAATTTTTTTTTCTTATCAAATAATTTTTTCCACGCTATTTCCTGGTTAATAGTCAATAGTTAATATATTTTGAGGCATAAAAATTGGCTTAATGATTAAAATAAAGCTTTTTTAAAAAATAATTATCAAATTAAAACAAAATTAGAACTTATTCCTTGTCTGGGTTTTTCTTGGCCACGTCAGCATATATTTTGTATACCGATCAGACGAAAATAATTTTTTTTATTTTAAATTTAATCATTTCGTCTAAAAGAGGAACAAAATACGTTATATATTGACATCTGTCACTCAATTCGTATCTGTCAGAGACGAAACAAAGGACAGATGTCTTAATACTAGAAATTCGTCTCAATCCAGGACGAAAGTATAGGATTTGAACACGTGTTTGAATCTAATAATTTTGTCCACAAACAAGACGAAAAAGAAACTAATTTTGCCTCCTGTCAGGACGAAAAGATGTCATTTCACCTATATCCTAGACGAAAGCCCTTTTATCCCCCCGGTCCTTTCATTTTTGCTGCACTCTTTTATCTAGCCAAAATTTCCTATATATATAATGTTTGAAATATGGGTCAAAATCAGCGTGAAAGTTTGAAAGGTGGGTCGTGAAATTGAAAGGGATATATCTAAATCTCAAATTGAAAGCGATTCTTGCAGTTTGAAGATTGAAAGCAAATTTTTGAAGTTAGTAAATTTCAAAGCTTTTTTTTAATATTTTAGTTATTAAAAAGTTTTAATTATTATAAATAGAGATAGTTAAAATTTATGAATATTTAATAAATATATTTTTGTGTATATTAAAATTAAAATTTTATATTTTAGATAATTATAAAAAATATATAAAAGTTTAGTAGATATTTAATATAAATTTGTTTAATTAAAAAAATAATGTTATATTTATTGTGAATATTTTATTATATAAATGTGGAATATGTATTAAAGATATAACATTTTTTATAATATAAAAATGATGTGAAAAATAATAATATCTTTGTGTTACAAATAAATTATTTATATTATTGATATAAATAAGTATAATTGTAAATAATTATTGATATGTTTATTTTTTATAAATGCAGGATGAATGAGATTATTATTATTGTATATTGGAATGGAAAAATTGTTGGAAACGAAGGTGTGACGTTTGAAGGTAACAAAAAAATGATAAAGATAAGAAGATGGATAAGTTATATGAATTTAAAGAAAAAGATTCATGACAAGTTGAATATTAGTAATAATCATGACATATCTAGAATAATTTCTCGTTTTATGGTTGATTCAAACGCTAAACAATACAATGCATTGGATATATGTGATGATAAAGATATTGATTGTATGATTAGTGCATATCAACAACAAAGTA